AGAAGCCAAAGAAAGCCGCAGAGACAATGAAAACCTTACCTAAAACCCGCTCCGGTGTGTTCTGTTAGTCCGTTAATCACAACTCTCTGGACGTCGGGGGGGAACAGTCGTTGGTTCACCGTCAGTCTGCAGCCTGTTCTCCGAGCGAGACGTTGCCAAGAATGCTCAACCGAAACCACGGTACAAACTGCGCCCGCACTCCTACCGCGCATGCGCAGACTCATTAGCTGCAACACTGATAGTAACCAGATGGGGCAGCAGATGCAGAGCGCTACTGCTCTGGTGGCTGCATACTAAAGCAGGGCATTTCAATATATGATTAAATCCTACATATCCATTTATGCTTAAACTTAAAAGTAATTATATTTCTCCTTCTCACATACATTATTGCTTTAAATTAACTGTTTATAAAATACACCAGCAATGACCATAAATGTCAATTAATTGTGAGTTTTTTCAAGAACTTTTTTTTTGTGTGTGTGTGTGTGTGTGTAATTCATCCATTAGAACAATTTGGATTCAGTCTCAGCTGATCGTCTATAATGAGTGAAGCAGATATATTTTTTCTTAATGTTTTTTTTTTCTGCTACTCTTTAAAATGGGTTGTTCCAAATTAATTCCTAACAGTGAAAGACATAGTTCCCCATTCCTAAAATAATTTTGCACCAAGCAAAAATACTTCTTAGAAAAAGTACATAGCTCTGTTCTTCATTATACGATTACATTCAAGATTTCCAGAAGTGTTTCTTTCACATCAAAAATCAGCCCAAACAGACCAAACATGATCCTTTTGAGGATAGATTAATAATTTATTATACTAATGTGCATTGTTTTCAGTTACCAGAGTTATGTTATTCTAAGTATCGAGAATAAACACTGTGGACTATACGGATGGATTTCTTCTAGGGGAAAAACTGAGATATCATATACCTTGTAGGTTTACAGTTATATTCCCACCCTGTTTTATAATACATCATCCAAAATATATATGTCAATATTTGTAATTAAACCTTATTAGTTTGATTACTGGTGTTACTAGAGACTTTTAAGTATTCTTTCAATTTTTTTATCTTCATAGTTGTATTTTTAAAAATATGATTACATCTCTATTTCTACAGCAACCAGAAACAGAATGGACTTTACAATTTAATCTATAAAATGTTAACTGGTAACTGGTAACTGGTGAGTTTTCCGATATTCTCAAAAAGCAGTTTAGGTGGGGTAAATTACTCATAGATAAATAAAACTGAAAGACTGCGGTACACTTATATTTGTCTTCAGAAACTTTTGAGTTTTCTTAAATGTAGATTTACATTGACTTTCTGAAATGTTTATTTTGATCAGATATATTGAACAACAGAGATCTGTTTCTACGATTATTGGCATAAAATTGGATAGTATTTTGATTTCATTTGAAATTGAGAAGGCATTTGTCGACTGGTGTCTAGAGATCCACAAATTGAATTTGAATTCAAGCGCAAGTGCACAAGTTGTTAAATAGCACCACCCTGTGGTGAGTAAAGATCATTTTCCCACTAATCTGATGTTGATATACTTTCAGATAGGTCTTTAAATTTCTATGGGTGGCTCATAGTTGACGAAGTTAAGTGACTTAAGGTGATTTTTTTTTTAATTATGCGATCGTTTTACTTGTATTTATGGTTTTGCATCTTTATATCTGTTGTTTCACATTTTCTAGAGAGTTTGCAATCTATTTAATATTGCACCCCAGAAACATTGGCATAAACAAAAGAAAGCATTATTGTTCATTGACGTAAACAATATTAATCTTAATACTTATAAACATACAATTTATCCACCGTTTGCGTTTGACATTACATGTTTCCAGTTGAAAAAGAACCAAAAAGGACTAAAATACTATAAAAACAAATTGGTTTTCACTCCCTTCAAATGCTTAATTGCACACAATTCTTGCTCTAAAGTTACAGTGTTCTAATTCAAATCACAGACCAATATGAAACACATCTGGCGGAAAAAGAAATTTTTGTGGCTTGGCTGGAAATTAGAAACTCTAAAACTCATGTAGGCATACCTGTAAAATCACTTTTAAAACTGTTTTATGTCTACCGTTAGTGCACACTTTTTCTGCCACACTTTTTTCCTTTCATTCAATTTCCTATAAATTTTGTGAACATGCAACATTTGTCAATAATAGTTTTTTGGGTGATCTGTTAGGATGTCAGCGACTGTCTGCTGCCACTGTGATTGTGTAAAGCGGGCCGTCACATGAGCATAGATTATATTTCTTGATTAGAAAAACTTTTGTTTTTGCCTTGTGTTTTGCTGGGAAATTTAATGTTAAGGTATTTTTAGCTTAACTTAAGCAATTTGGTCAACTGACGTTTTTAAATGTACTATATAAAAATTTTGACACGAACATTTAAAGAATCTTTGTGTGTAATAAATCTACATGCAATGCAGGTTTCACTGGTTGAATTGAATCACTGACATAAATAACTTGCATCATTCAAGCGTGCTAGTAAGAAACTGGATAACATAATGCTTGTATTTCATTAAAAACACACCAGGGAGCAGCATGGATTCATAAAAGCTCATGAGCGCTAGCATTGGTCAGATTTTGATTTATTTAAAATGTTAATTTATTTTTGATGTTGTTTGATTGTATATTTTAAAATAATCAAGACATTTTAGAGGGTAATATGTGTCAATTCAATTCATTTAATTTAACTACAACATCCTAAAAAAAAAACAAAAAAAAAACACATTGATTACATTCATAAATTAGGTCTTGTGCAGTCATTATGAATCACAGAAAAGGTGTGAATTAAACCTGAATATATTTCTGTCAAGCTTTATGAAAATATTGCACCATTTTTATATTTTTATATATTTAACGCACTACAATGCGATCCATATTATAGTGGAGTAATTTGAATATTATTTTGTGGAACGAATGAATTATATCTTCAGTGTTATCAATCCCTAGTTAATACAAACATAATATTGCTAATTATGTCATTGTATCAGCTGCCAAAATGATGTAGGTCAGAAAAAGAGACCTTCTCAACTACATTACCCACAATGCACCAGCACCGTTTCTCATTATTTTTACAGGACCGCCCTCTCTGCCCAGGCTGAGGTGAACTGCAGATTTGCACACGCACGGAGAAGGGATGGCCAGAGATGAAAACGCATGCAGCGGCCATCCGGATGACTTGAAGATCGAAAACATCGGAAGCGCTCGCTCCCGTGAACGTGCACGCCACTGCCCGGTGTGTTTGGATGGAAAGTCAGCCCACAGACTGACAGCTCCGAGCTCGGGAGCGGAATAGTGGAGTCTACGCCTTATTTGGAGGATAAAACCCACTTGGATACGGCGAAACGCTCCGGAATGAAAACACCCACTAAGCGGCAAGGACCGCTTTAATTTCCTTCGGAATTTAATTGGGGTTTCGGATCCTAATGAAGACGCCCCTGCGACTGTTTCTGTGGATGTTGCTGCCTTCAGTGTCCAGGTTACGTTTCAGGATAAAATAAAGAAGTCAGAGGCGGAAGACGCGTCATACACGTATTTGAATATTTTGTATTATTACTATTATTATTATTATTATTATTTAGAAAAGGACATGGCTACAGTGGACTCGGATCTCAGCCAGCTCCATGCAAATCTTCGCTGACAATATTTTCCACCTTACTGAACCGAGTGACAGCCTCCATCTCTGCTAAAGAAGATATTTACACAGCCTCCGTCACAGCCGAACATGCAATTCTTCCCCTGAACGTGACACAATAATGATAAATGCTTGTATTTATCGGTCTCCAGCGAAGAAGGACTTCTCCTGCAGCAGACCTAATGTAGCCCCGCAGCAGCAGAGGCGATTGATGCAGGCCGCTGCGCACGCACGGAGGCAGGTTTGTTGCGCTCAGGCTGCTCTGGATGCTGAACATGGTGCCACTTCACTGCCCCGCAGCAGTCACTGAGTACCTGCTGCCACTCAGCCGTCGGCCCGTCTCTCTCATCCCCGCTCAGCTGTATTAAAATGGACGAGGCCCCTTTGTCTGAAGCCTTTCAGGGACGCTTAACCGGCTAACGAGGTGGCCATGCGTGGATAGGATTTAGCCCGCACCGGCTCGTGGAGATGTAGGGCGAAGATATCCGCGGATATTTCAACGCAGAGGAGAAAGCAGCCCACATTCATGGAGACGGCTGGCGGGGGAGGTGCATCGGCTGGATGAGAAATAATGTGAACCCCCCCTCCTGCACAGAGGATTTCACTCGGCTCATGCACTTGCTTTGGCTGTTACTGGCAGCCTAATAATTTATTTTCCTTACTGAAATTAATCTGACAGTCAGCTGTGGCTTCATTGTCACGCCAGCAACTGGTGAAGCTGCCTCTGATCTCTCGGGGTTCATTTTTAATTGGCTGAAATTAAGCAAACTAAAGCCAAGAACGAAAATCTCCAAGGTCATAATTGAGCTCAGATTTTTATTTATTTATTTTTTTTTTTATTGAATACGTTTCCTAAAACCTAGGAATGAATTTTTCCACAGTTGTGCACACCCTTCACTAAATATTTGCTATTTGCATCATCTAATGCAAAACCACAGTGATGGCAATCCGTTTTTTTTTTATATAAGTAGTCATGAATACCTACTGTTTTCTAATTTACCGGGAATTTGTGTCAGCTTTCAAAAGACTCATCAGTCCATGCAAACAACCCGTTTTATAGGAAATCCTGTCATGGATCTGCCCTGCTGCCCTGTCATTGTTTGACCTGAAGTACATTACCCCTGTGTGAACCTGCCTTTTGGCAATACCTGCTACTTGCGCATTGTGTTGCAACTGTACGATTTAGCACAAATTCATAAATGAGATGCAGTGAGGGGGGAGATCCCCTGATCTGGGCTCCTTCAGGCTGGTCGAGACCACTTTGTCTCAGTCCATGGGCCTTGTGAGGATTTCGTGCCTGAGTTGACACAGGGCCAGCCCATAGCTTCAAACAGCAGTGAGGCTGCCATGAATCCATACGGAAGAACAAGCAGCACAGCCACCCCGCAGCTGTCTTGCACCAGCTGCGGGGGCTGCTGCTCACCGCCTCCCCCTTGCCTCGTCCGGCCTGGGCCCCCGTCCTCTTCGACCACTACCTCCTCCTCTTCCATGCCCCCGAGCATGACCCCTCGACCATCAATGTCCCCTGTTCCGTTCGTGCAGGTGGAGAACGGAACCAGCTGGAACTCCTCTACCGTCTCGTCCTCGGACTCTCCAGATTCCCATCCTGGTCGCCGATGCGGGGTTAAAAACCCCAACCCTTACTGGACGGCAGTGTTTGATTATGAGGCCATGGCAGACGAGGAATTAACCCTGCGACGCGGTGACCTGCTCGAGGTCCTCTCCAAAGACTCCAAAGTGTCTGGGGACGAGGGTTGGTGGACAGGAAAGATCCAGGACAAGGTGGGTATCTTTCCGAGTAACTACGTCACCAGAGGAGACGCTGCCAGTTACCAGCAGCTGAAGGTCGGGAGCCTGGTGGCGGTTCGGGTGAGTGATTCCCCCTTGGAGATTGACTTCTCAGAACTGACCCTGGAGGAGGTGATAGGAGCCGGCGGCTTCGGGAAGGTGTACAAAGGAGTTTGGCGGAGAGAGGAGGTGGCTGTGAAGGCTGCCAGGCAGGATCCAGATGAGGATATTAGTGTCACAGCGGAGAGTGTGCGGCAGGAGGCCAGGTTGTTTTGGATGCTTTGTCACCCCAACATTATTGCTCTCCGCGGGGTTTGCCTGAAGGAACCCAACCTCTGCTTGGTGATGGAGTACGCCAGAGGAGGGGCTTTGAACCGTGCACTGGCTGGGAAGAATGTTCCCCCGAGGGTTCTGGTGAACTGGGCCGTGCAGATTGCCACGGGCATGGATTACCTGCACAACCAGGCGTTTGTACCAATCATCCACAGAGACCTCAAGTCTAGCAATAGTAAGTACTTTAACTTTTAATAATCTGTACTGATGAGATTAGCAACGACCAAAAGGGATTTTGGCTCATTACAAATATAAAATTTGTTTGTTGACCTCTCTTGCCATTACTCCATATCTTTAACATGATGCACTGCAGTTAAAATACTTGTCAACAAGCTTTTTCAAAGTGTGCTGTAATTCTTCTTTTAGATAGAGATTCTCTACTTAGTGGGTAAAGGATATCGACTGATTTTGGTTCAAAGCATGTCCACCTTTTGCAAAGTCATATTTACCAAGATAGATGGACATTTATTGTGTTCTTTAACTTTATCTGGAGGGAAAATGTGTTAAAAACTGTAACTCTTAGTTTATGACATCTTCAACCCCCTGACAATAAATCCACAGTTGGGGCTGTTGGCTCCAAAGAGCATCAATAAATCTGATAATATAATTGAATTTGATAATTGACAGCTGTACAATCACACTTCTTTGTGTAAGTCTTCACAACTATTATCTATAGTTAAAAGCCTTTAAGGCAACTTCTTATTATACACAACAGATGTATAAAGTGTAATTTTAATGTGTAAAGGCATCTCAGGGCAACACAGAGACACTCAGGATAAACAACCACACATTTATACCTAAAAGTCATACTTTTGGACTTTGGGAGTACATGGGGAGAACATGCAAATCCAAATATCTTTAAAAACTATTTACATGAAAGCATGTCTGTGACCTTCCCCTGATTTTATTGAAATCAAGCTAAAGCACAGAAAGAACATTCTGTTTGTGGATTTTTATCAATTCTCCTTAAAAGTAGAACATTTTTAAAGTTTCAATCCATCTAATGAACATGGAATAAAATCTTTTCCCATATTTGATGAGCTTGAGTTGGAAAAAATGGACCGATTCTGATCATTGGTCAGTTGACTGACAGATGTTTACTTTCTTTATCCAAGTATGTTGAGTGACATGCTACTTTTATTTCCTGATCGCACTTTTAGTTGTACAATGTATGATTTTAGTTTGCTGAAAAAAAAAAAAAGGTTTCCACATTCTTTATCTAGAAGCGATTAGAAACAATCACTTCTAGAAAATCATGGAAATGTGGTGATGTTTATAACGTAGTTTGCATTGTGAAGCGATATGACGGCTTAATGTTTTTATCACGTAGTTTTAAATGAAGATGGAAAACAGCCTCCTCTCTTGCTCTCTCAATAAAAGAACTGGACTTTAGTCTTCCAGATATAATCTCAGACACTGATAACATTTTGCCTTTCGTAGCTGTTGTATCGAGGGGGTTGGAAAATACAAAATTCCAGTTTACAAGACTCTTCTGCTACGCATCACATTATCAGTTGTAGTGGAGGAATAAAGCACATATTTATTCTGTTTCTCTCCCAGAGCAGCACAGCTTGACTCAGCTCTTTACTGTTTATATATGAAGCTGTTGTCTGGGGGGAGTTTGAGATGAGAGCACTTTGCATTGTGCCATTTATTTTTTCTATCAGATGAGATGGTTGAAAGTATGAAGAAAGAGACTTCCCACAACCTATTAATATTGAGATTCATATTTACTGATAATTATAATAGTAATCTTGCATAATGAGGTTTTCTGATCCACAGTGGCTGTTAAAAGGTTTGGGTGATTTTAAGAAAGTGAAGCCATAATTTATAATTTCAGAACTTAATCAATCTTTATGGTGAATTTTATCCCGTACAATTCAACTGGACAACAAAAAAATATATATTTTAATGGAGGGAAATTCTAAAAAAAAAAAAAAAAAAAACAAAAAATGTCTGTTTTACTTTGTTGAAATACTTTTTTATTTAATTTCAGCTTTCATTCTTCTCGAGTATTTTGATGAATGTTATCGTGATGAAAGTTAGTTCAAGGAGGATTCTTATGACAGATACTCATGCATCTTTTATTTAGAAAAAGATGTATAAGTATCATGAGTCGATTGGATGCCTTCAAGGTATCAGTCAGGAGAAGATTACGAAAATGCAGCATTGCTAAAATTGGACATTTGTACTCACTGATGAAAAGACGAGATGTAAACTGGTCATTTGGATTGTGCAGAGTCGCACTTTTATACAAAATGAGGTGCTAATTCTAATTTTTATTTAGTATTGTGTTCCACACATGACCACAATCTTCTGTATTCTTTATATATCTGGAAGAAGGAGTATGGCAAAAATAATGGTCCTTTCCTTCCAAAAGCAACTTCTGGATTTTGCTAAATTCTCCCAAAACCTTCCAGAAAAATTGTATGGTGTAATAAAATCAGACTGGGATTTCCAAATGGGACGTTTGGCACCAATTATCACCAAGAACCCACAGTAAAATGGTGGTGGCAGAATTATCTTCTCTGATTACTTTTCCTTTGATTCTAAACTTTGGTCACTTTGGATAAAATCTTTAGCAGCCTTTTAAATACTAGTCAGTTTTAAAGCAAAATCTTAATGCAACGCATGACTCAAATCATGCAACAACTTTATCTGAGACAAATTTAAGTCTTGAAAAGTTCCACGCTAGAGTCCAGGAAAAAAAAAATGGACAGATAATCTGACAGATAATATGCTCTGAACGAGAGAAGTCCCCACAATCTGGCAATTATAGAAAAACCTTTGCAGGCTTAAAAAGGGCAAAATTAGTTGGTTAGAAAATGGGATGCTGATAGAATCATACCAAAGGAGACTGAAGGCTGAAATTAGATCTAAATGTGCTCAGCAAGATATTAATTTAGCATTATGTAACCAGGTTATTGCAATTTCTATGCTGTACGTTTCAACAGAGTTAATTCCTAAAGGATAGATGTAACAAGTGATGTTAAAGCAAGTTTTTAAGAGCTTATCAAGATGTAATTTTTTTGACACAAAACCACAACATTGTAATTGAGGTGTGAACAGTTTTGAAAGCCACAATATTTGCCTCACAGGTGTTTGATTTGTAGCTACGACTATGGCAGACATCAGGCTCCTTTGTGGGAGATAATTTAACGCAAACAAGAAACGACTCATTCAGTCAACTTGATTTCTGCAACCATTACGTTTTTCTGCTTATTCTTTCATGACGTTGTTTGAAATGTGATCATTTCATGTTGCTATGCAACTTTTTTTTTTTTTTTTTTTTTTTCTTGTTTGAGGCGCTGACTGCTGACACTGCAGGAGAAACTTGAATTTAATCACAGCACGGAGGCCTAAATCCTGGAGAACTGGTCTCTCTCTGCCATCTTCTCCCTGTCATCTCTCCTCTCTCTCTCTCTCTGCACCTCCTCCTGCTCTCTGTCGCCATCCTCCTCTTGCCTCCCCTCCTCAAGGAGAGCAGATCTGCTCTGCAACTCGCTGGGCTATTTTTGGTGCTTTGTGCTACTTGCTGTTTAAAGACACAGTTACAGTTGTTGGAGCACCAAAAAAAGAAGAGAACGAGAGTCCTAAGTGTGTGGTTCTGGGTGTGCGTGCAGGTGTTGCAGGGCGACTGTTCGACTGGAGTGACATGCGTGGAAACAGGGGTGGAGTGTGAAAGATGCTGACTAAAGGCCGCTCAGACAGCGAGACAACAGAAGCCTCTGAAGGCTTAGTTGGTCTTAAACCCACACTTCTTCCATCTTATTCATTTTCCTTCCTCCCTGCGCAGATTCAAAATGCAGAATCATACTTGCATTTGACGGCAGAGCCTTGGCAACAACTCCATATAGACGCCCTTCCATGGTGACACGGCTGCTGCCTTTTGAGTCACTGAGTCATACCACTGCTAGCCGCTGTCAGCTGCTGTATAAAACGCCATTCCTCTAAGTTAAAGTGTTGCCTGTGTGAAAATAGCTGCAGATGAAATGGAGGAATGTCGCAGGTAGAGCTCTAGGGCAGCAACTAATGATTGTTTTAGTCCTGATCAATTATTCTGAAGATTAATTGATTAATCGATTAATCAGATTATGAAATTGGCACATTCTGCAGACTTTTCATTTAACCACTTAAGCCTTTTTATTACACAGTATTAGAAATGTATTAAGAGTCAAATGAGCAAATAATTTATTTCCCTTTTTTAAAAAAGAAAATAAAATTGTTGTTGCCTAAATGCAGTAACGTAAGATTTCATTTGGTTGATCATTTAGCAAAGGATGCATCTGCAGCTACAAATACTGTCGATTCAGTTAATTTTTTCTATTAATAAATGGATAGCAAAAGACAGATAGAGAAGGTTTTACTGCTCCGACTGTGTTGTTCATTTGGCAAACGACCAATTTTTAGTCTGTATCCTCCAGTTAACGATTAATCAATCACCAAATTAATTCACGATTATTTCAATAATTGATTAATCATGAATAATCATGATTAATTAGATTAATCGTTTCAACCCTATAGAGATCCAGTTGAATGATTTAAATGGGAGAAAATCCAGTTTGAACCATAACATTCTGTCTGACACCCACGATGCATCGGTGATGCCCAGAGGGTGAAACAATGGGAAGACGAGAGAGCCAGTGAGTGAGGAGATTGACTGAATACCCGGGTGGAATAGATCGGGTTATGAAGAGTGAAACAAGCTTTTGGAACCGTATGAGAGGAGACCGATGGGAAAGAACAGGAGAAGGAGAGCGTGGGGGATAAACAGTGGGTACGTCTAAGTTTAGGGTTACACCTTGGCGCATTGTTCAGGTGCGCCGGTCTCAGGTGTCCCCTTAAAACCGCCAAAGACTTGGCATCAGCGCAGCTACAGAGCAGCTCGAGGCCCCTCCAGCTTTTCCTCCGTCTCCCATCAGCTGGCTCAGTAAACAGGCTGAAGGCGCCCGAAAGGATGAAAAATAATGACCAAAACGTGATGCGTTATCCAGACTTAACGTGGCTTTAAAGCCTTGTTAAACACAACAAAGGATTCTTATTTTCAGCACGGTCCAGATGCTTTCTTCTAAATTTATCCCATCTTGCTCCACGTCCCCCCGCTCTGTTAATAGTTGTGTGTTTGTGCAGAGCGCCGCCGATTGCTCGGCTCGCGGCGGCAGATGAGCGTCTGAC